CGCATTGTCAAGTTTTTCTTTCTGTGAGAAAATGGCGGAATCATGTTTATTGAAAATTCGACGAGTTGGAGGTTTTTCTTTGTAACGGTTTTTCCTTATTTTTGGTTTTTTTTTGTTATAATACGTTTTACTGAAGAAACTTCTTAGTATAAAGCACAAAAAAAAGGAAGGATTCAAGGTGACGTTGAAGAAAATTGTTACTGCAACGGTAGAATAATAATTATGCATAGTCGTCATTCTTAAAACTTTTGATCGTTACTCATTTTGTTGGTTTTTGCAACTGTTTTGATCTCATATGTTTGCTGTTGTTGGCTTTTTTTTTTTTGTATTTACTGTTACTGATATTTTCTGTTTTAAGCTTTTTTTTCTTTGTTTATTTACATATCATTTTCCTTACTGTGTTTTATAAAACTTTTAGGAAAAAATTATGGTTGTACATTTTTGGAAATTTTAATGTACATAACATAAATCGGAAGTTAATAGATGCTTTATTACCTATTTTAGTTTAAATTTATTAATTTTGCAGTTGAATAGTGTTCAATTCTGTCTGTAGTACTCTAGTTCTGATATATCTGTATAGTTGCAGTTTTATCGCTTCTTAATGGCTAACAGAACTTTAACAATTGAAGCCAATATTAGCTGCTTAAGAGTAATTATTAGTAGTTCTTAGTAGTAGTTGCTGAAAGAGTGAAAGCCATGTTTCTGATGTTGGTGATACTGTTTATGGTGGCGAACACGACTGCCGTCTCTCATCTCTAATTGACACATATTTGTGACTGATACAAAGGAGATCATTGCCAATCGGTATCAAAAACAGCAGTTCCAAAAAGTTTTCTGCATTAATCTGTCATTTTTTTTGCAATCTGACTTTTTTTTCTATGATTTCACATAAATTGAATTTATTTTTAGTAAGTTCATTGGTAGCAATCTGCTCCGTTGACTGACTATACGAAAATGGTCGAAAACTAATTACAACATTATTTTGTTCTTCATTTTTGAAAAATATTTTACCAATTTAAAAAAATTTGTAAATCTGATCTTTTCAGTTACAAGGTTTTTTTTTGAAAAATTTTTATGGTAACCATAAAACTGTGCAAAAATTTTTGTAAACAATTGTACTTTTTGGTGTTGATGGTAATGGAAAGAAAGCAACATTTAGGATGAAACGATCCTTGAAGAGAACAAAAGAAAAAAAAAAAGAACTGACAAATATGACGAAAGTGAAAAATGGCATATATGTCGTAAAAACAACAAGTCCTTTTTTTTTGCTCCCTTTTTGACTTTTAGACTGTGTAATATTTGTTTGCGAGTTACTTCGATTTCTGTTTGTTTTTTTCTTCAGTAATATTGAATTGCAACCATCAAAATTGTTTTACTTTTTCTGCTGTTCTTCTGACAAGAATACAGTTTAGATAACAATTTATCAAATTAAAAATGGTCAAACTTACTGGTAACCACAATCAACATCTGAATGTCTTCCAGCTTAAGCTACAATTTCTCATTCCACAGCTTTTTTTTTGGGGGGGTGAAGGAGCATGGACTGAGAGAATTTGAACTTCAGTTCAGTAAAATCAACACGTTTTTTTTGAATGCACTCTAGTTTCTGATTCAAAAGGTTCTTTTTTTCTGTTGCTTTTTATCGTTTTAAACTGTAGATTAATTCTAGAAGATTCAAAGCTATTTTAAAAATAGAAAAGAAGTGAACCAAATAAAACCGATATATTATTTTTTGAATTGACATTTGCGAAATGAAAGGAAACAGGGCAAAGAGAAAAACCAATGAAATTTCAATCTCTTTATCACTTAACAGATATTTGCGCTGTGCAAAGTTGTGTTTTCACAGTTTCTCTTGGAAACAACAACAATACGTTTGATGGGTTCCACATCAGGCATTCAACACAAACTTTGGTTACGCTTAACAGTTTATCCGTGGTTTTTTTTGCTCTTAAAAAACAGTTCATCGTTGCAGATGTATGAACTGGGCAGCAATCAACATCAAGAAAAACCAAAGTTATTGAAGGCTAGAAGAATCTGTTCTTTTAGTTTTTTTTTGTTTTGAAACTGTCAATTCGTATGTTTTACTGACAAAAATTACTGAAAAATAATTTTTTAAAACGCACTCAAAACCGGGTATTTCCTCGGTCTTCCTCCGCCTATTCCTCCTCAGCTCTCGCCTCCTTATAGTTCCTTCTGCTTCTGCCCATCCATGTAGATGTTGCACGAAGCATATCCACATTTACAAATTTGAACAAATTTTTTTCCTACTTGCAGCTGATCTTAACTTACAAAAAAACTGATGGAAATTCGTTTTCATAGCCGTTGGGGGACGTTCAAAATACGGTCTTTGATTCGATGTTTGCCATGTTTGCTCTGAACCACCAGTGGCGGTAGATACAACGGGTCTTTACGAGCATTAATTGTTTGCATTAACTTTTTTTTTAAATTTGCAGGTTTCAATGATCTCCTGAATTTGTATAAGTGATTAATTTATATTTCTTTTTTGCTGCAGAACTTTTTTTTCATTTTTTTTTTTTTTCTGTTCTACTGTTGTGCAAAAGTGTTGGTATTCTGCTGTATTGTATTTTAAAGTTTCTACTTTACACGGTAAAACTTATCAATGTTCGAATGTTTTGAATAGAGAAAATGGAAATTTGAGAAACAATGATGATCAACATTCTAATTTTTTTTACTTTGTTGAACATTTTTGTCTGACTACCTGTTTCTTTTTTGTCAAAGATTGACAAAAACTGTCGTTTAGTACTTAACTGCTCTGTCCTGGTCATTTTTTCTTCTTGGTTTGAAATATTTTAGTGACGCTTATTTCAGTGCGTATAAGGATTGTTAAAAGGTGAAGCAAGAAAGAAGTTCAGTTGTACAGAAAAACTAATCAAATTTATGGTCTTATGGGCCGTTTTTCTTTAGTATTGGCTAAGATAACTGGGGGTTTGGGAACTAATTTAACTATGCACATGAGCTACCCGACACTAAATAAAACCATATATTTCAAAACTGTAGGTAATTTGTTTTTGTTGCACCAAATGAAATGTTCAATTATTCTGGTTTATTCAACCGAAACTTTAATTTCCGAAACTGTTTTTTTTTTTTGAGAATCATAAAAAGTGATCGAATCGAAAATTAAGGTTTTTACTGTGCTTCAAAGCAAATGAAGTAATGAGAATATAAAAAACTGAACTTTTCTTTATTGTTGCGAAAGATGAGTAGTAGAAAACTTATTGGTTTTTATATCACTAGGATTATCATTTACTTTTTGTCGCTTTTTTTTCAGGTAGGATACTGGATGTGCCAATTTCAGTGTTTTTCTTAGAAGCTCTTGTAAATCCAATTACCACCCTCATCTTTTGGCTATATAAGCGGTTCACCGTGTGCAAAATGTAGTCTAAACTTTAGGGTGGACTATGAAATGAACAACTATAAACTATTTTAACGTTCACAGATTACCTTCTCTAATTTTTTTATCTGCCTCTGCTGAAAACATGAAACTTTAGACAGTAAAAAATTATGCTTTTTTTTAGGAAAGCAACTGCAGTATTTCACGGTTAAATGATTCCTTCTTGTGCGATTTGTTTCAAAAATGACCTTTCCCACTGAATCATTGTAGACCCTTTGCTCATTCTATTCGATACTCGTCAAAAAAGTTTTTAGAATATGCCTTTTCTAGACTAAAAAACAGCGTCGTGACTGACTGATACAAAAACTAACTAGCCAAATCTAAAGTTGCTTTTTGTATTTTGCTCTCTAATTTTTCGCAAAACTTGTTACTTTTGTCTTTAAAATTACAAGCTATTGCTTTTTCTATTTTTGAAGAGCACCATCAAAGTTTCCGTGGGCTATTTTTTTTGGCTATAAATTTGTTGTTTGTTATTATTATCGCTGGTTATTGTTGACTGCTGTTTAATCAGTGTTAGAGATCTGAACATTTCTGAAAAATTTATGCATATTACCTTTTTTTTAAATTTCCGAAAGTTTAGAATTTACCTATACGCCAAACAGCCTCGAATACTTGTTGCATCAACTATATAAAAAGAAGCTTTTAGATAAAACTTACGTCGAAACGGCAAAAAATTTCACATTATTAACAGCATTGTAGTTCTTGACTGGTTTAGGATTTTTTTTAAACATCGACTGGTTTAAAGATCAGATAAGAAGAAAAGTAGGCAAAATCGCTAGAGCGACATCACTATTATGTTTACTGACGCTTCTGTTGGAAGCTGTAAAGATGCTATGGATGTATGCAGTGATGATCGTCGAATATCTGTAACGTTACAGTTTGGTTCTTATAAAGATGTGATTACAATCGTTCGCGATGAGTCACTAGAGGTAAGTGCACAATAATAATCACACTGTTAACAGTCTATAGTTACAACGGGAATAAAAAAAAAACTTTTCCTTGTGTTTTTAACATTTTCCTTCTTTACTATTTATTTTTAAAGGCGTTTGCTGTTTTTCGGAAAACAGTCTATCACTTTGCCGAAAAACATAGCGATGGTAAATTGGACGCACACTGTGAATTGCAAATGTTTCGGCATGATTATACGTCGCCTGGATTTTTGCAACATCTAACAAACCTGAATCAACTGGTCAGTGGTTGTACATTGTTGCCGAATATACCAGCTAAAGTAAGGAAACACGTGAAAGAACCGAAAAAAAAAAGCTGGAATACAAATTCAGCTCTTTTGGAAGAGAGAGAGGGACTAATAGGGAAACTTGATTAGCTGGAATTATTAAAGTCGAAAAACTTGATTAGCTGGAATTATTAAAGTCGGAAAGAAGTTTGATCTGTTTTGGTTCAAAAGCGGTTCCTTGTTGAGCGGTTACTTCTGTTCTTTTTTTTTTTTGTTCTTTTAGCGGACTAGGAGTTGAGAAGGAGAATATAGAAGGAAAAAGGTTTTAGAATAAGAAAATTTTTTGTTCAGTTTTCAGGGAAATGGAAATATTGTTGAGATAGTAATAATTGATCGGAGCGAGAAAGCTTCACGTCCACATGTTCTTTCCGTCATCTCATTCAAAACACCAACATTTTGCGATTTCTGTGGCGAAATATTGGTCGGCCTAATAAGACAGGGTTTACAGTGTGAAAAATGCAAGTAAGTTGCGTGAAATAAACAGCCTTTAAGTGTAAAAATAAACTTACAACCTGCTTTTTATTACCATATTTTAGACATAATTACTGTTCAGTGGCTTTGGGCACTAATGGCGTCATTGGTAATGAGAAAATCATAGGAAGGAAAAAAATTAATAATTTTAATGGCAGACTTTGTTGTACATCTTATAGTACTGATCTATGCTCTTCTTCATGTATCTCCGTCCTATCCATAATTTTCGTTTGAAAAATTGCTAAAATGATTAACATAATGTTTAGGTGTAATTTTCACAAAAAGTGTGCATTTGCTGCTGGAAATAACTGTGCAAAAACACAAGCTGCGAAGCTGGAATCAGCTTCATCAGGTAAGTAAAGAAAAATACAATTCAAGAACAAATTTTATACCCCACTTCTTGTGGATACTATGATGTTTTAATAAATTAGACCATATTCCAATCAATTTCTCGACTAAGTTTATTGACAGACTTTCACTGAAAATTTTAGCAGTGCTTTGAAAAACAACTGTCTTCTTTGCATTTTTCTCCAGTTGTAAATTTCTTTTGTATTACAGACGAACCACGACAGTCATCAGAAGCTGTATATGCACTACCTCATACACTTGCGGTGCACAACTATCGAACTTTAACAGTGTGCAAAGTATGCGAAAAAATGTTGTTTGGTATTATGAAACAAGGATTACGCTGTAGAGATTGCAAGGTATAATTGATGAAGGGTGCTCTTAGAAACAAAAACCAAAAAAAACTGAAAAATTTGCAAACAACAACTAAAACCCGTGTTTTTCCCGTTCGATCCAACTTTACTGTATGTCTGAAAGATTTAACTGACGTTCTTTCAAGGTAAATGTACATAAAAAGTGCGCCTCTCAATTACCACTGAATTGTCGAATTGCTGAAGGCAGTATAACGCCATCGTTCGATCAAATGAACGTTGATGATACATCACCATTGTGGACACCTCAAGAAGGGGACGAAAACAATTCGGAAGATAACCTTATACCATTGGCAAGACTTCCAGGTAAACGTTTTTTCCTTTTTTTTTTTGAAATCTTGATTTATGAAGATACATTTTGGAACCATTTTTTTATTTGTCAAACAGTCACCAAAGAGGTGCCACAGATATGTGCATAAGAGAAAGAAAATGCTACAGAAAGTTATAAAATAGAAAGAGTCAGACAACTGCGTAAAAATGAAAGATTCATCAGCAACTTCAGAACAGTTGTATTTTGGAACCATTAAAATCACCTTTTTTCCATTTCATGAAGAAATAAACTTGCTATGGAAGAGTAGAAAGATTGCAGGACAAGCATCAGTACGTACTGGAAATAAACAGCCATTGGTCGAAGGATATATGATTCATTATATGCTCGACCAACCCGACAGACGTCTTCGGCATTATTGGATTCTGACCAGTGGTGCAATTAATATGTACTGTGAATACTATGATTCTATTGGTAATCATATTTCACTACTACTTCGCAAGGTCTTTGCTTTTTATCACTGTGATCTTAAGAATTGGTGTGAAAATGTCAAATGATAAAGTGAGACAACAGTAGATCACTAACTGACTTAATTGTTTTGTTAATTTTCATTCATCGTCGGCCTTTGTACATGATCTTCGTTAAATACATTGCCTTGAGCAGCAAAGAAATTGAACGAAGCAGTAATCATATTAGTTGAGCAAAATTGTTTTTGTTTTCAACATCTTTGATAAAATAACCCAAATTTTGAGGTGTAAACCCTCAGCGAGTTTATCGACAAATTCCTCTTGGTGATATACTGATGGTGGTGCAGTATGACGGACCACCAATACATCCAAGGTGAGCAAATGATAACGTCTGAGACGGCTTACTGATCATATAACATCATTTATCTGCGGTTAACGCCAAAATAGACGACAGAAGTAGGTTATTTATATTTTCAGTTATCCACCACATTGCTTTGAGATTCGCACAAAATCTCAGATGGTCTACTGTGTTGGTGAAAATCTGGATGCGTTAGCTGGGCCACCAAGCAAATTGCCCAGACATGCAAGTGGCAAGGCTAATGCAAGCGCTCAGATGTGGTTCAGTGTTAGTCAACTTCTTTGTTTTGACTGGCTTAGTCTAGTAAATATTCTTCGAAAAGAAGTGTTATGTCATGTGTATTCTTTTATTTTTTAATAGCTTGAACAATAAAAAAAAAAGAACTTCCTGTAATAATAATTGCTTGTTAGGCTTTGCAACAAGCGCTTCAACCACCACCGTCCCGGCATGGAAGTGAAAGCGCTGAATTGGCACTTCAGTTTACCGAGTTGTTTCAAGTGATTACGTTATTTGTTCAAAAATATTATTGCTCATATTAATTATCTTGGTTTTTTTATTGTTTTAAAATTTCAAACGATTGTGATCTAGAAAGCGGAAATTGAAAAATGAAGTTTTTCAATATTCAGGTTCTTAGCGACAAACAACTTGGTTCTGGTCAGTTTGGGACGGTTTATAGTGGTGTCCATCGTGCCACTGGACGTGAAGTTGCTGTGAAAGTATGGTAACTTGATTTTTTCGATCTACCTTACTTAGCTGTTTTTTCTCTTTAGCAGTTTATCAAAACTTTGGAAATTTCATATATTTTGTAATAATTTTTCTTTTTTTTTATATTTTGATGTAATATGCTGAAAAAGCTGAGGAAAGCTATAATGTGTGAACTACGTTTGCTTTTAACAAAATTGCTCAAAAATAGTATATGTGCTCAAAACTGCGTTATATCTTAAAATGAATGTAGCAGTTTTGAACAATTTTAAAATTCTTTGGCTTTTTTTTAAATGCATTTCCAGCTTGTCTTACACTCATCGGAAGGGCGCTCATTTTTTGAAAGGAATGTTAGTTACTTTTTGATTACAACAGGATGAGTACCAACTAACTAACGTTCAGATAAGATCACCTTTTCTGTAAGTCTGAAAATCACTAATTGAGCAGAGCACTTCAGTTTGGAGACCTGTTAGAAGCAGTGGAGCGGTGTGAAACACTTAAGGTGGTGTTCAAAAGTGCTCACCAACGGGGTGTCGTTTTTTTTTTTCATTTCAGCTTCGTTTAGTTGGACATCAGAAGGATACGCCTAACTTAGAGCAGTAGGGGAAACGAAGTATCAATTTCATAGAAGCAAGCTCATAACAGTAGCACACTATCTCTTCAGTTTTTCGACTGTTGGACCTCCTACCAGGTTCATCCTTCGTAGGAATTAAGCCTCTCTGTTCTCTGTTACCCTCTTTTCGTCATCTCTTCTTCCTTATTTATTACCTCTTTTATTCTCTTCTAATTTATTTTCCCTCTTTTCACTTGCTTTTAAATCTTTTCTTTCTTTCCTTTATATTTTACTTCCCTTCCTTTTCTCTACTGCACCCTCACGCTACATAGTTACTGTTTCTAATGCAGTTTTGGCGGAGTTAAGGTGAGTAGTGTATTTAATATAGCCAAAGTGATTTAATAGTTTTATGTCAGGCGCACTGAAAGTATCATGACAACTTTTTTGAAAAGTTTGAAATAAGGGCTAAAATATCGAAGAATTTTTTTATAATTTTCAATAAATGACATCTTTTTGAATTTAGTTGTTCTTTGATGAATTTCAGAAGTCGTAAATCATTTTACTCTCTTCCTCTATATTGGTCTTAGCTATTCTTAACGCGCATTGGCACTAATCGTTTACGGTTGATTCGTCACCTTTGTTTTTTCATAATATTCTTGTAATTAATTCAAGTTAAAAAATTATTCAACGCGATCAAATAAGGAACAGTATTTACGTACTAATGACTCGTAATTAAGAGTGATAAAAGCGATAATATCACTGCCTTAAGATGTGTAAGAGGCAGCTAAAACAGACGGTGTGGGTGTGCACGATCAACGATATCGGCTTTTTTCATCTTTTTGATCTTTGTTTATCCGCAGTCTGAACTGAGGGAAAATCCAGATATCTTGTTTATAAATCCAGATATCTCCAGATATACTATACATCAGATTGGAAGCTTCTGCAATTCCTGTGTGGACATGTTTTTTCTGATTGAAAGATGTTCTCCTCTTTTGGCAATATTTAATTGGTTTTGAAAGTTGATAGATTATTGGGTTCATTTCCGTGAAGGTTTTTGTAAAAGTTGCCGACTGATATTGTTTTGTATCGGTCGGATGGGATATATAGTCGAAGTTGAACTAATTGGAAGTTTTGAATATCAGTTGGAGTTTGAAACTGTCCTCAGGGTTTGTTTTGGGGTCTCTAAAAACGATTTTCTGATGGCCTTCAATAGGCTTCTACGAAAGTACTGTCTGGGAAACGTTACGAATAGACATGTTTTTATAGATAGCGATCAAAAACAATCAGTATGATAATTTCGCTAGCATTGGGCTGGAGCTGGCTTAATTCTATTATAAAATTGATGGTACCAGTTCAAGATGTTTTCTTTGGAACTTCCATAAAATCTTTCATTCAAGCGCCTGTTGTTGCAGGTGATCAATAAAGATCGTTTTTCGCGTAAATCATCGGCTGGAATGGAAACATTGAAAAGTGAAGTAACGATTTTGCAGCAGATTAGTCATAAGGGGATTATTCGGCTCGAGTCGATGTTCGAAACGAAGGAAAAAATTTTTGTTGTAATGGAAAAGATGAATGGCGATATGCTGGAGATGATATTAAGTCAGGTGGCGAAAAAACCTATTCGAAATTTCTTTTTTAAAATTTTTTAACAGGGTCAGTAGTGCGTTTTTTTGTGTAGGTGTTGTTTCGGTAATAGTATGCATTGTTTTTGATCCGAGATGTTTTAGAGGTAGTACAATGGTTAAGTGCAAAAAGCTAAAAATCAGACGGTAGTTAGCAATAGTTTAGAGAATAACTTGTCTTCTACTAGCATTGCGCATGTGAGATAGACAACTTTTCGGACGAATTAGTGAGACTGTATAGAAAACAACTGACATTAATTGGTTTGTTGAATGGGTAACGATAATAACAATGATAGTGGGCTCACGCTTTTTTTTTTTTTTTGCTTTACTTCAGGCTCTTGGTCGTCTTGATGAACGTACTACAAAGTTTTTAATAATGCAAATATTGAGTGCACTACGATATTTGCATATGAAGGGTATTGCACACTGTGATTTGAAGCCCGAAAATGTATTACTTTCTGATCTCTCGGTTGCATTTCCGCAAACAAAATTATGCGACTTTGGATATGCTAGATTTATTGGTGATGCACAGTTCAGGTAATTTTCTAAAATTTTTCTTGCTTGTTGCTGTTGGATAACAACTATTTCAGACTGTTTAAAGTCTCGTTATTTTTTCTGTCCAAATGTCACAAATTCTTATCTGTATATACAGATAGCTGCACTTAGAAGAGACAGAAAAAAAAATGAATTTTTTCAACTTTTGATTTTTGATAATCAGTTTGTTAAAGTATATGGAACGGTTAAAGCTATTTACTTTTTTTTTGCTAAAAATTCTTGTGCACCAGTGTTTTCGGTTAATAGTGTTATTGATAAAGGGAATAGAAGGAGAAACTGAAGCTGATAATGGAAATTTAAACTAGTCAGGAGAAGCTTTGGTGACTCGTAATGTGGGTTAACTTAGATGAGTGTAAATTTGTCAACGTTTGCCTTTTACTGCATAAATAAAAAATAGTCGATTGAGCAGCAAAAACTTTGCTGAATTGAAAAGTTTTGCAAAATGCTTTTTTTCTCTCTAACACTTAAGTGATATTTTAAAGTTTTAATAGAAAACGTTAATTATTTTTTTCCAGAAGAACAATCGTTGGTACACCAGCGTATTTGGCACCTGAAGTTTTGCAAAAACGTGGTAAGTAGCGTCTTTATATGAACAGTACCTCTAAACAAATATTTCTTCTTTATATAATTATTTTATTGCATTTTAAAGCATATTTCTGCAAGTGGTATTTTTATTTTCAGTTATTTTCTTTTTTTTTTTTTTTTTTTTTTTTTTTTTTTT